ATTTGCTTTTATTTGACTGATATTTCACTCAGCACAATGCTTTCTAGCTCTCTAAGTTATATGGTGTCAAAATCATTGTTGCTTAATGTTACATAGAATTCTCTTGTGTGAATGCATCATAATATCTAAGTATACTTATTTGTTGATGGGTGTTTGGGCTGCTTCCACTTTTTGGCTATTGTAAATAAGGCACCTTGAATATTTCTTAATGGCTGAGAGTTATTGTGGTTGTTAAATCCCATTGAATTAATTATGATTCATATATCACTAAGATCAGAAGATCTGAGCACTATGCTATTCTGCACTCTCTGTATCATTCCAGACACATTTGAGCCCATTACCATAGATAATGTATCAATCCATTTTGTTGAGGGTCTTACTTTTTTTTTTCCCATTGACCTTCCACATTTCCGAGCATGATGCCCCCCCACCCCCCGCAAGGAATAGCCTATTCTAACAGCATGCTCTAAGTATGTGACATGAAGCATTGGAAATCCTTGCCTCCAAATAAGTACTTTGGTTTCACTTTCTCTGAGATATATATCTGTTTGTTTTTTTGGTAGTCCATTGAATATTCAACCCTAACACCATAATTCAAAGGCATCAATTCTTCTCCTGTTATCTTTATTCATTGTCCAGCTTTCAGATACCAAGTGACTGGAAAGACTGTGGCTTGAGTCATGCATACATTAAGCCATCAATGCTCTGACATCATTTCTCTTCAGTGTTTTGAAGAGATCTCTAAAAAAATTCTTTCCCCATGCTGTACATCTCTAAATCTTGTGAATCTTAACAAGATGAAATCTTTGACAGTATCAGTCTTTCTCCATCTATCATAATGCTGTCTATTTGTCCAGCTATGAGGATTTTTCTTTTCTTGAAGTTGGGATAAGTAATTGAATATTGAAAGCTGTAGTCTTTGGTCCTCTAAAGCAAGCCCCTCAAGTCTTCTTTGCTTTTAGCATGTAAGGTTGTATTATGTGTATAACACAGGTTGTTGATATGTACTTCTAAAATTCTAAAGCCACACACATCTTCATAAAGTCTAGCTTCTGTATAATTTGCTCATAATCTCAAAAATAGGTTTGAGACATCGAGCACCCAAAGACCGAACATTTGAGGGATGATTTCAAAGTTATCATCCAGGAAAGTAGAATCAAATCATTACACAGCCAGGGAGAAAGAAAAAACCAAAAAAATGTTGGAAGAGACTATGAAAAAGACACTAGAGTGTAGAGAATTCAAAACAAAGGGGAAACATGTTGAAGTAAAAGATATGAAAAGAAAATTTCAAAAGACATTTGGTGAATACAAAGCAATGTTTTCTAATGAAATGTTCTAAGGGCTGGAGTTGGATAATGAAAGAAAAAACTCACTTGGCATTTCTCAAGTTGATAGAACTAAAAAAAACAAATTCAAAATTTGAATCACAAAACTAAGACACTACGGACAAAATCTTTAATGATCCAAGAAGCATCAAGAGAGAATGGAAGGAATACATGGAGTCACTGTACAGAAGAGATTTGGTGGACACATAAAAATTTCAGAAAGTGCATATGGTAAAGGGCCAATGATGATTAGGGAAGAAGTTCAGGACCCACAGAAGACGTTAACAAAATAAAAGACCCCAATTGACATATTTCACGTAACAAATGAAATCTGAAGGAGATGAAATCAGTGAAGTGGGGGAACAGCAGCCTTTTTAACAAATGGTGTT